GCATGTATGTATGTATGTATGTATGTATGTAGGTATGTGCATGCATGTATAAGTATGTGTATGTTTGTATGCATGTATGCATGTATGCATGCATGTATGTATGTATGTATGTATGTATGTATGTATGTATCAGTGTTTGTCTCATTGTCTGTACGCCTGTACGCCTGTATGTCCGTCTGTCCGTATGTCCGTACGTATGCATGTATGCAAGAAAGCATGCATGTACCTGTGTAATACAGATGTGTGTGTGTATACATATATATATATATATGTATATATATATATATATATATATTGTGTGTATAGGCTTGTATTGGATATGTGTATGTGTATGTGTATATATACATAACTATATACAAACACATATGCATACATATATGTATACACATATATATATATATATATGTATGTATGTATGTGTGTATATATATATGTGTGTGTGTGTATATATGTATGTATACATTCATAATTTATCATGTCCTTGATTCTTTGTTCAATTTCTACATACACCCTCGAATAGCGAAAACCTCCCAAACACAAGCCTTGCACATGACATGGCTTTCAATCCTCGCAAAGACCGAGCTCCTTTTAGCCAGCTGCTTACAGTTCCAACGGACTGAAAGCTTGACTCCTAAGTCTGTCAGGCTCACGGCATCATATGCATCATGACATCATACCTCACTTAAGAGAACTAGAGAACTGCAGCATCCTGCCTTGGCCAATGCGGTGATGCTCGAACCCATGGTGGCACAATCCGGTTGATAAAGGCTTTGCACCTGGATACAAGGAATTTCAGCGATGAGCACAAGCTCAAGCTTCAGCGTGAATTCCAGGACAGGGGCTTGAAGGTCAGAGTTCTGAACTTTGGATTCGGGTGAGAACGCAGTTGGAGAGCTCTGTTTACGAGGTTTTCTATTCGCGAGGTTTGCGGGAGCATCCGAACTCCACAAACCTGTCCCACAGAGGACACGCAGAAGGCACCTCAGCAAGCAGGTCAAGTGCCTGTCGCCACTGCGCTGCCGCGGCACACGCGGCCATGCAAGTGTTGAAAGAGATCCTCAGAGCTGGGCTTCCGCTGTCGGGCAGGGCTAGAGGGGCTAGAAACATCGCACATCCGTCTTTTAGAGGCAGAGGACTCGAAAACTGTGACGGCATGAAAAAAAAACAGGCGTCAGCCCAGCCATGCGCGAGACGCGCATCTCTTCGAGGAGGGCAATGGCTGCTAGCCAGCTGCCTGAATGTGGAAATTACTAGGGAGTACCCGACGACTCTACGGCTCTGTCTGGATGCGTGTGGTTTCTGTGCACAGTGCTGCCCAGCGGCCAGCATGCTCGCAGGATGCCAGCACTATGTTGAAGAGAGTCCTCTGGTCAGAGAGGAGAATAAGAAAAGGTTTGCGCTGAGCCGTTCTATCGAAAATGCTCGGAAACCTTTCCCAAGCCTACAGCCCAGCCCTCGTGGGAATGCTGCGCATGAATGACTCAGTCGAGCATCTGAGTGGGCCGCAGCCCCGACGCATGAGCCCGCAAAAGCACCTGCAAAAGGTGAGAAGCCCGGTGTCTCAAACTTCGCTCAGTGTAAGGATGTGTATAAGGTGTGGAGAAGTTGAAGCATTCGGTGTCTAGCGCGGTAAGCAAGTCCAGTTCAAGCAAGGCCTTGTTTTTCAAGGCATATAAGGCCGGATAAGAACAAAAGCTATAAGACCACCGCCTGCGGAATGGAAGAGCGTGATCACATCCCTTGCCTCTTCCTACACCATGAAATTGCATCAGAAATCTGCGTCCTGCTTTGTTCACCAAGCGCGCCTGCAGCGACTCGGCCCAGCGCCGTCCCCGGCCGATCGCCGAGGCCTCGTGCTGGGAGCCGCTTCTGCTGAACCCCACCGTGGCCGTGCCCTGCCGTGGGCCCCCGGGGCGCTGAGCTGAAGGAGCCGCGGCCGGGCCTCGATGCCGTAGAAGGCCAAGTCTCGAACTTCCGAGGCTCGGCCCAGGCCTTGGAGTCTTGGAGGAGAGCAGCAGTTTTTCCGGACACAGCTCTGGCAAGGCTCAGAAGAGATCAAAAGTGGGCGGGGCTCGGGGCTCGGGGCTCATGAAGTCACTTGCGATGCCAACTCTGCTACTGCAGCCAACAGCTCCCCCGTGCAGGATCGCCAGCGCCCGCTGCCATGCGGAGCCGCGCTCGCACGCGCTGGCAGCGGCATTTGCCTCGGCGTGAGCTCCGGTCCCGAGTGTGGGACTTGGGACATCCCGGGCAAGTCGGTCGGGCTTCACATAGCTTTAGGATGCAAAGGCCAGACCACCTTCGTGTTCGCTAGCGCGGAGAGACTTAACTGAATCAGGCCCCCTGCAGCCCCGCTCAACTTCAAGTTGTTCGGCTCTGAGCCGACATCTCAAGTAAATTAGCCCAAGGCCGGGCCTAGAGTCGGGGCCAAGGTGTTTTTGCTTTCTGTCTGTCTCAATCGAATCGGAGAAAACTGAGTGACCATGAACCGCGATGCTCTCTGTGCAGCCCTATGCCGGGTAGCATTCATTAGCAGGCTAGGACGCCCCTCGGGCGTTGCTAGATCGGATGTTGGTCAGTAGCCCGAACTGCAGCCAGAGCTGCGCTCACGACGTCTGGCTGGTATCTGGACTGGCACATGTCATGCAGCCTCGGATGCGGGGTGGCCAACTCTCTCGTTCGAGGGATCGAGGTTCTGATGCTGCACTTCCGATGGCTCGTGCATAGAGAGGTAGCGAGAGAGAGAGAGAGAGAGAGAGAGAGAGAGAGAGCGAGAAGGGAAGAGAGAGAGAGAGAGGGAGAGATAGAGCGAGAGAGAGAGCGAGAAGGGAAGAGAGAGAGAGAGAGAGTCTCCGTCTACCACGACCTCAAAAAGTCATATCTGGAACGTCGTTTTGTGAGGTAAGCAGCACGTTGATAGCCTGCATCCACCTGGCCTGCTTGGACAAGGCGGCCAAGGTGGCATTGAAGGCCACCACGTCTGGGAACGTGCCACGGCTCGCCATGCCCTCCTCGGCCGAGTTCCTAGATGCTGCTGCAGATGCTCTTGGGTGCTCCTAGACTCGATCCAGCCTCCATGCATCTTCTGAGAATGTCGAGGCATCGTGCCCACTGTTGGCCATGTGCTAGTGCACTGATGGATGCATTGATGCTGATCACCCAGCTTTCCAGAGACTCCCCAGCACAGACCTGCTCCAGCAACTGCATCGACACAGTCCAGGAAGAACTCTTTCCACAAGCACTGATGGCTGCGGAGGCTACAAAGTCATTCACGTCCAAAGCATCCTTGTCCATGCGTCCGAGGAGTTGCAAAGCCAGGCGCCATTGCAGGCCACGGTCGCAGGCAGTGAGGGCTGTGCAGAAGGTCACCTGATCCCAAGCGTCTGGCTGCAGGGATTGCAGAACTTCCAGAGCCACTTGCCATGACAGGCATCGAAGACTGGCAGTCGCTGTGGCCGTGCATGCCACGGTCAGCGCATGCGCGTCTGAACCTGCTAGTGGTTCGTCCGGCTGCCGTCTCAACCGCGCTAGGAGGGACAGTGCATCTTGCCACTGGCGCTGCTTTGCAACCCATGCAACGCGAGCAGCAAGACGCGAGGCCATACACAACAGGCGTCATGGCAGCAAGACACAGCGACCCTGTCCGTATGGCGCTTAGATCTATATCCTCCTGGATGTACCTGGCGGAAAGTTGGTGACGCAAGCAGCTCATGAAAAGTCACAACTCGATCATCTTGGCGTCCTGCGCAAACCCAGGCCCAGAACCGTCTTAAATGTCTCTGAGCTCTCGTTTAAATACAATAAGACAAGTCCACCACTGCGTAATGCTGATGATAAGCCGAAACAGGGCCTGCCCCATACCTATGTCCAGCTTAACATCCGACACGAACGGCCGCGAACATACTCACAGCTGCAAAGCTGTCAGTGGTAATTCATGTTAAGGCATGGTAAGCAGCATGCTGCAGTTGCAGTCAGGCATGCATCCTAGACCTGGCACCGAAAACATCAAGCCGCCAGCTTCAAAACCAAACAACAGAACTGAGGAGGAATTCTAGGACCTGCCTTACGCCACCAGAAAATGCCGGGCAGGCCAGCTCCTTTTGAGTGGCAGCGAGATCGTCCTCCTGCCATGAACATGTTGCTTTCAGCGGTCCGGGCCTGTTTTCTCTGATGACAAGTCAAGGATAGCAGCGCGCTGTTGAGATGGAACCAGTGGCGGCAGGACCGCGTCCAGCTGCAGGAAGGACAGCGCCCTGAGACTTTCCATGAAAGTGGGCACAGGGTGCTGGAGGCAGAGTGGAATCACGAACATCGCAAACATGTTCTACATTCGCACCTAATCCTGTCTTTGGCTAATACAACTGGCAGAAGCTTCCGCCAATATGTGTGATAGTACTGCTAGTGCCATGCAGGGACCGTTAGCTTCTTGAGGTTGACAGGCAATGACGCTATTTCCTTCTCGTATCATCAGGTAGTACGACTCTTGCATATAAACCCTCCTGCTTGCGGAGTTCCTGCTGTGACCTTGATTTTACTGTATCCTGAACTTGTACTTGTGGCGAGGCTGCATGTTTCTTTGGCTTGCTCTCAATACTTCCCTTGTGGGGAAGTCCAGTGCTGGCAAAATCAACCTTGCTCCCTTCCCTTCCGGGGCCACGGCGAGCCGCTCGTCTGGGCCTGACCGGGGCAGGGATTGAGGCTCGGAACTCCAACCGGATCTGACTTGGGGAGGCGTGACCTGGTTTCGCCGATTCGGCTAGCCGTCTAAAGCACATGTCAACAAAGACCTCAGAGGTCCGCGCATTCAACAGCTAGATGCTTGGGCTTTCTTGCAAGGCTCGGCCGAAAGGAGTCGAGCCTCCAATGCCTTTCTGCGCGATGCTTCCTTGCGAGATGGGGGCTTTCGAGGGACATGGCCGCTTGGGGTTCGGCTATTGGAGGTGCTTCACCTTCAGTGATTCAAGAGGGAGAGCGAGGGAGAGAGAGAGAGAGATACATATATATATATATAGAGAGAGAGAGAGAGTTTAGAGAGAGAGAGAGCGAGATAACCAAAAGCTAAATTAGAGTGGCAGAGCCCGCAGTGACGAGGCGGGGAGGGACAGGAGCAAAACTAGCGAGCAAACCGACTGTTGTTTGCCCTCACTGAAGACCTGGCATCAGAGACGACGAGGTGAGGAGAAGAAGCCGGTGTAGGACAAGATCCAACCATTTCAATTCGAGAGACTCTGACTCAGATTTTTGTTTTTTTAATGCTGTGACACGGAAAGACGGGGAAGACGGCGCCTCGGCAAGCTGCTTCTCCAGGTCTTTCACATGCTCCTGGCACCGAAGCCCGGTCTCCGAGATGCGAGAAGTGGTCTTTGGTCAGTGACTAAGAACCCCATGCTCTAAAACCCTAAACCCTAAACCCTATACCCCTAAACCCTAAACCCTTAACCCTAAACCCAAAGCCAAAACCGTACTCATCACTAGCCTCAGCTCAAGAGCCGGCCGAGGCCTCGGAGACCTCGAGCTCGCCCTCCGTCTCGGCCTCGCGAGGCTTGAGATGCCCTAACTTTTTGGTAATATAGGGTTTAGGGTTTAGGGGTTTAGGGTTTAGGGTTTAGGTTGAGACGCCCTTACTTTCCGGATCTTTCCGGTACGAAAGGGGCCTCAAAAATTACCTATACGATTTTGGTGGTTCCTTCTTCTTAATAAAGCATGATGGGCCCAAGCCCATAACCCTATTCTAATTATTAAGGCCCCTACATCACGCTGCAACCTTAAAGCCTCCCCTCCCGGTCCCGAATGGTGTCAGGGACAAGACCCGAGGCAAGTCTGATCTAACTCCTCGGATTTTCATGCGAGACAGACCTGATTGCTGCATGCTCCAAACACCGCGGCCTCCTTCTCCTCTGCGAAGACGAGCCTCACCCACTCGTGGAAAGCAAACTTGCACAGTGGACCAGCTTGGCTCTGTGTCCAGGGAGCACGAGCAACAACTCCAAGCCCTGCCGCGTGTCTGAGGAAAGGGCTTCTCTTTGAGGCTGACAAGCGCGGCCTGGCATAGGGCGCACCCGCCATAGTGCTTCTTCGGGAACTCGGAGCTTAAAGGTGAAAGGGAATGACAGGGCGAAACAGGTTGTAAAGAGAAGGGCTCCTCTTCGGAGATTCTGGCCTTCGTCTCGGCCGCCTGCACTTCCGCCATCCTTTTCATGGAGGTCCTTGAAACTCTGAATCTATGCAGCTGATACGGCAGAGCTTCACAACGAGAGCCACACTTAGATGACACCTCAAGACGATGCCAAGGCAATTGTAACAGTGAATTCAAATCAAGGTGAAAGACATCCGCGTGCCAGCAAAAGTCAACAACAGGGATGCAAAATCGGCTTTCCGCAAGACCGATGGAGAAAGTCGAGAAATCTGCCATGCGCAACGGCTGCAGTAGGGGCCGGACAGTTGGGCCTCCAACTCGGAGACCTTTTTGCCCATACTCGAGGCCTGGCCGGGAAGATGGGTACGGGGTTTGTAGGATGCAGGGTCCGTCTGTTGAGCAGGGTCTTGAGAGCACCGACATAGATGCACGGCTTGGAGGTGGAGTGTAGTTTGAGCAGGGGCCCAGGGAGACGAGGGCTTCAGCGTCAGTTGCGAGTGAGGCCTAGGGACTCTCGGGCCCTGGTTACCGCTTTGGAAGTGTATCTAAGCTTTTGAGGATCCTGGAGCGGGGCTACCACAGACGACACTTGCAGAGTGTGTCATAGCAAGAAAGGTTGCCATGGCCCTAGTAGCCATCATCGTCGTAGCCCGACTCATGGTAGGAAGGCATGCAGCAACAATGAAAACTGCTCTGGGCTGGGAGCTGGCAGATTCAGGCTGTGACATGATGCTTCGGCGGTCACTGGCTGTTGGGGAGCCTGGTGAGGCTTGACACTCAGTCACTTTAGGCCCGCTTTGCTTTCTGCCAGCCTTGTCCACCTCATGATGGACAGCCTCCAACACCAGGCCCGAGCCTGCATGGACACTGTAGGCAGAGGGCCAGGAGAATTGCAGTGATCTAGCTGCACATGGCAGAGGGTACCCAAACTGCTGACCGAATTTTTTTCCGGACTTTGCTTAACACCACACTACCCGCCCTAGAACTGTACAGCCTTCTTGGCACAACAAAGTTCATACCGAGCATTGTTACGGAAGCCCACTGCGTGCACCAATGAGCTGGGTGAATTGGGCTCCCGACTGGGGACAGCTGTTGGCCGGGCCCTCACTTCATTGGCTCCTGTCAAGACCTCGACAAAGCGGAGATGCGGAAGCTACAGCAAGGGAAGCTAGGGGTGCGGCGCAATGCAAGGGCACATGTCCAGGGCTTGTGGGGCTTGGGCTTCGGGCTTAGGGATAGGGTGGCAGCGCTTCCGCATTTAACCTAGCGATGCATCTCCAAGCGGCAGATCGCGCCCAAAATACCAAGGCCCTGGCACCGAGTACCACCAGCACCGACCACGTGGTCATGGTGGCAGGAAGGGATGGTTCCACTGGACGTTGAGCCAGCGGCTGTGGCAGAATTACCTTCTTCGTGTCTGTTGGTTCTTGAGGGATCCATTGCAAGGCATGCCAGGGGTCGGCGGACTGCGGGTGAGCGTAATCTCACATCGGTCAAGAACCTAGAGCATGTGGCTCAAGGTTTGCAGGCGTCAATTGAACCTCCAGGATTCGGTCCGGGAACCAAGTTGAATGAGCATGGGAAGCCCGAAATCGACATGTGAAAAAACAGAAGATCTGTTGCAAGGCCATGGCTAGTCTGACATCATTACGCACACGTAGAGATGTCCACTTTTACATCTCGACTTGCCTGTATATGTGCAGACGAGTGCGGGGTAAAACTCCAAGTGTGCATAGAGGTACAGACACGAGCACATGTAGAAAGGTAAAGCTAGAAAGGGAGGTCGACGGAGACAGCATGAGACGGCGACACAGTTGGGGTGAGACGTGGAGGAAAAGAGACGTGAGGTACATTCAGCTGACATGGAAACGCCCAAAGATAACGTGACTTGTATCGACATCGACATTCTAACATAGCGGCTGCAAAGACTCCCGTCAGGAGGCCTACTTTAAACTTAAAACAGCTGATGCACCTCAACCCCGCAGCAGAGGCAGGGTAGCCGGGTAGAGGACCTTTTGGGCCCAGGAAGGTTGGGGAGCAGGTTCGATAACCTGAGATGCGACTGGGACTTCAGACTCAAGCGTTTTCCCGCATGGTATTAAAGAGCAGTTGACGTCGCCGTGCCGTCCGCGGCCGCCACAACGACTTGCGCAAAGCACCGGGAAGAAAATGCTGATCAGTCTTCAGGAGGCGAAGATTGGGCTTATGCTGGTGTGATCGCAGCGCTTGGTGTTTAAGCGCTCCTTCAGCCTTTCACCCGATAGCTCGCACAGTGCCACGGTAGCGAGTCCTGAGCTAAGATCCTCAAAGCCTGGGCAGGACGTGACAAAGTGTACTTTGCTCGGGACGTAATTCGGGAATCCGCTCAGATTGCAGACTCGCTATCATGATCCACTGGTACGCGAGGAGGCGGTGCAGATTGAAACATCGAGAATTACGTCGCAAGTCAAGCGGAGGTGGCTACTTG